TTTTTTGATCCTTTCGATGGCGATAGTCGTCTCATCGTCAGGGAAGTCGAGAACGTGACGCGGTCTTCGGTAATCGCGGCGGAAAATATTTAGCGGCAAGGGCCTGTAGGTGACGGCACCTACGATAAGTGGGTTGGGATGCGCGGCGGCGGAATCGAAATATCGGCGCGACGCCGACTTCAGGAATTGCGCGATGGTGGGCAATTCTAGATCGACATGTAGGTCGATATTGCGCATGAACCAGGGTGCTCCCGTGGCTCTGCGCAAGAATCGATTTTGAATCACCTGAAGCCGGTGTATTTGCCTTATATAAGGTCACCTTGTTCCGAAGGGACATTTTAGACGTTTTATTGAGGAGCGGGTAGAGGCGACCGAGTACGAAGGCCGCCCGGTTCCTGACCTGGGTCACGTGCTGGGTGAATTTAAGCTGGGAGTCGAGGACGACGCCTAGAATTTTGACTTTATTAACCCATGGTACTGGGCTGTCCAAGAGTTTAACTGGGGGTGGTATGGGTATGTTCTTTTTGTGCGCGAAAAGGACGGCCGCGCTTTTGGCGGGATTGATCTCGATCCTCCATTGCCGAAACCAGTCACCGATGGTGATGGCCGCAGCTTGGAGGAGCTCGGGGAGCCCTTTGGTGTCCATAAGGGATCTTAAGCGGGCTAATATTAGTCTTTCAAAGATCTTCCCAAATGTTTTGAGAAGACTTATTGGACGATATGAGGTTGGGAGAGTGGCGGGTTTAGAGGGTTTGTGTTGCAGACAACCACAGGCAGTGGTAATCGCTTAAGATCAGGCAGCACATTACCGGTTGCTTTTGATGTTTGTACAGTTGTAATGCTTATAAAAAAGCTTTAAATTTGTACTCGTGTACAGCAACACACAAATATCTCTGACGTTAATGGATTCTTAAAATTAATCTTAAAAAATTTTAAGAGCAATGGCGACACCGCTCGTTGCAAATATTCATCGTTGTGTACGTTCGGTGACCCAAATAAAATGTAAAAACCTCAGTGCAGTCCATGACCATGAATGCTTTAAAATATTCGGAATATCAGGGCTTTAAAATTATGACATTATTTGCGTAAATAAGAAAACTTATTATAAAGGTTTGACTGGTGTACAGTAAAGCATATTTAATTTTCACCCATTCATTTCATTTCATTATTAAATCATAATATACTAATATACGTTATTTAATTTAATTTGCCTACCGTAGTTTTTGAAGCATAATGTAGTTTGAATATTGTGAGGGGAAATTAATTAATGTTTAATATGATTTGAGTGCTTGGCTTAAATTAACGAAACAATTTTACAAAATCCCCGTGGAGTTAGATTTATAGCGGTTAACGCGTTTCCCGATATGTGCCCAAGCTTACAGTGTCAGCTTTAATTAATTTTCTCATAACATAAATGTATTTATATATCCATCATCTTTTTTAAAACCAGCTTTAATGTAGTATAAATTATTGTACATTTATAGTATTTTTTATTTGTAGGCAGACAGAATAATTACACGAAACAATTATCTAAGGGCCATGCATGTCATTAACTTGTTTAATCTAATAGCAGCGAATACAAACTATCGTTAAATTGCTCAACCCTTGCCATATGAATCAACATTTCTATTTTTTATTGAAGGTGTATAGGAACAAAAATAGAATGACATATTATATTAAAGTAATCTGTGTAACAAGTTAATCAGAAATTTAAACGAAAACATTAAATAAAATAGTATACTTCGCTGAACAGCAATGAATCCGCAGTGCGAAATATGTCCTAAAGACTCTTGTTAAGTGTTTATTAGGGCAGGGTGTGGTACATTAGATCACCATAATTATAAAGTTAATCAGAGCCGTAAACAATATAATACGCTCAATGAGTAGGTCGAAGTGTTTTATAAATATCTATTTATAATCAGAACGAAAGGACTGAAGAATTCCTCCGGAGACCCTAATTTTATTAAGACATAGAACTGTCCTCGTCGAGAAGTACAACATTGCCCGCTCCTTTGCTATTTAAATGATGCAATTTGAAGATCATGTTGGGAATCTTGAAGATTGAAGAAATATATTTGTCATTTTCCTTCAGCAGACAAGTGGGCAGTGAAAGCAAACTCAAAACGCAAATATTTTTGTTTTGTTTTGAAGATTTTTTTAATATGAATAATATTCGCATAAAAACAAGAAAGCAAATAGATTCCTCAATTTGTCAATACATCTGAAATTACCTTAGAGGTTTCAAAATAAATAATTGGCGTTTATTTAGCATTTGTCTAGTTTATTCGCCTTAACTTATTCGACTAAAAATTTGTTCCCTTTCAAGACGATTTCTTGCGGTTAAATTTCGTGGAATGTGTTGCAATTTCGATGATTGAGAACATTGAAAGCAAAAAGTTTTTTTGGAAAGAAACTTATCGCTGTGATTTAAAATTCGATGAGACGAAAATCTATCTAGACAATGAGACACATAAAAATATATAGAATTAAGCCAACAATAGCATGAGATAAGAGAATACAGTATTTTATATTCTAGGTATCCTCTTCCACACTTCATAGCCCCCACCGCACTCTCGTCTACTAAGCATTGTACATATCTCTGCGCCTATATATTATTGCCTAGCTCAAGTGAGACAGCAAGTGTATTTTTATGTAAAAAGTTGGTAAGCGAGAGTGCAACTGGCCTGATGATAAAAACAAATGTCAATACAATAGCTTTTTACAAAGTACATGTAATATTTACACGATACGTATACAAAAAAAGGACTTCACAATTTAAAGAAAATTTCGATATATTTACAGAAAAAAATTATATTAATAATTTCTATTGCTTCAAATTTAAGCTGACTTACTGAATGCAAATCTTAACATTCACAAAAGTAAGCAAATTTTAGATTATACAGTAAATAAATCTCAAGAATTCTATTGATGATACGATCATATAAACGTAAAGAGTTTTAACTAAAAATAAAATCTTGGGCCTTGTTAAGAAGTTTTACTTAGCGGTACGCTGTTCTCTGCCTTGTTAATGAGAGGGCCATGAGATAAAACGTTGCGATTTACGGAAGGTAGCCCGTGCAACCTTTACGCAAAATTAAAAGATGGTGGATGAAAGTATTTACGTTGAGTTTACGTTTCTTTGGTAGAAAAGATGAATCCATTGAGAGGCTTTATCAGATATTTAGATTTATCTACGTATATTTGGAAAAGGTTTGAGACAAAAAAAATCATTAAATGCAGATGATATAACAAAAAAAACTTAATGCTTTAATAAAATGGGAAACAGATTTATTGTAAAAAATCTCTCTAACATCCTTCATATTATCAAAGACAGACTCAAGATCGCTTATGAGTAAAAGATAATTATATTAATTTTCAAATAACAAAAACAACAGTACACTTTACAAACTTTACTTAAAGTAAACTTTTCTTCATGTATTTTTAGATTTTTATTTAAATTTGTGAAAGGATGTCATTGAAAGCTGGGTAGTTTTAATATAATTTAATTAATAAATAATTTGAACTCTAAACTTAGAATAGAATAAATTATCAGTCTATTTTATAGATGCATCGCAATGTTTGTATTAAAACTGCTTGTTTTAATAGTAACATTGTTTACAATGGTAGTTTACTACCTCAATTTGTATACAAAAAAATAAAAAAAAACATTAATATAGAATCACTACAAATTTGTTACATACTAAAATATCGTCATTAACAATTTTCTAGAATTAAACAGAAAATGCAATATCCTTTTGGAATAATTAGTGCAGTCCTTTTAGTCTGTCCCTGCAGGCTATGAATTCAAATGTTCTTTTTAAATAAAATATCTCTCAAGAATTTTCTTAAAGTCTGGGTAACTTTAAAACAGCCAAATAAATAAGAGGAATGCAAGAACAAACTCAAGTACAAAAAGCGTAATGAAAGGCTGTTAAGGCTAACCAAACCTTCCTTAGCCATATTTTATTGTAATATTGCGTAAGCCGCATTATTTATTGTAATATAAAACAATACACTATTGAAAATTTGAGCGCTAAGTAGTCGCTTATAATCCCGTGCATTGATTCATGTATACAATATCCCAATGTTTGTTATTTTAGTAATGTTATTAAAAGTTGCATGTTTGTAATTAGATTTGTCTTTGAAGTTTTAGTTTGTATAAACAAATAAATTATATATACCAAATGTTTAAACACAGATATTTAAAGATTATAACAAAATTATAACAAAAATGTAAGCTGAATAATTTCTCTGTTACTGTTCGAATTATTGTCATTCTTTCGGCATTATTGTGTCTGTACTTCTTGTACCTATGTAATACAAAAAGTATAATTTTTAGATTATGTTATAACAACATTTTATAATTAAGAATAAAAAAATGGAAACTCTATTGGAAAATTACTTCATCTATTTATGATTAATTATTTATAATTTTCAATTACATAAAAGATAATTAAAGTCTGTTCCGGGATAAATGTTTCTAAATATTAATTATAACAACCCATTATCACGCACGACTGAGCGTATGGGATGATGATAACTGCTGTACGAGGAGAAGGAATATAGGCAATAAATTACATTAGAATCACGAAGTAATTCATTTTCAGTTATTTGAATATATAACGGGAAAAGATCAAGACGTGATAATGTGTTTAGTTTTAGGTGCGCTTGTGACTTCATTGCACAATTATTTATGTGTTCCAAAATACATTCAATAACAAACTTTGTTCCATAGGACCACATGAACCTATAGTGCAATGGTTTAATCATTGCACTTTAAAAAAAATTACAAATAAAATAATCCTCAATTCCACTGTAAGTCGTATTGATGGCAATAGGAAACGCACTAGACAGGCCTAGTTTGTCACCTTTTCCCAGATATATCATATCGATTTGAGCCTTAACTTTAATACACTCATGTTGGCAATTCGTACTACTCAAAGTGTCCCTCTAGACTGAGAGGAAGTTACGAAAACGAAGACAAATAATGGTGTAGATTAGGCAGTGGTTCCGGGTGCTGTAATATACATTGGAGCTGGCGTTGCTCTATGCTTCGGCAACAAGTAAGCCCTGTTAGACGCAAAATCCTTCCCATAACCACCGCCTGAGGAGTATGAGTAGGCGCTGCCATAATCAGAATTGTAATCTGACACGCCACCATCGAAGTAGGACGAATAGTGAGTCGTCGGGTGATGATGCTGAAATGAAAATGAGTCCCATTTAAAATGGATAAATATTTTTCTTCTCCAGTTTTAAACAAAATATGAATCATGTTATGAATATGTGTGAGTAGGAATAGCAACACACACACTTGATATTATTGCTTCGTATTAATATTTTTAATCGTAAAGGGCAAGTTTTGAAATATTTCTCAAAATGAATAAACTCTTAATAAACCGTAATGGTATTTTAGAGAAAGTAATAACAACTCGTCCCAGAATTAAATTCAAAGTAATTCGCCTGTATTTAATTTTCTTGTTCCTTTAGATCCATATGAGAGTAGGTTTTTATACAGATTTGCTTTGATCGTCCCTAAAATTTTCACATGAAAATATATTTGCTCTCAGATAACGTAAGTGTAAGCAAATTAAAAGAGTTTCTTTCCTTTCATTCCCTTAAGATTGACAAAATCATTTATCTGAGGCAGAAGTTAAATTTATCTACATGAAAGTTCCACTTTCCCAATAAGTAATGGAAACTGAACCCTTTACATAAAAAAAATAACGATAGAAATCAAACATATAATGTATGTAATCTACTCGTCTGGTAATAGTTAATTGAAATAATTAATACTAAACATGAGCCATGAAGCTAGGAATAATGATGTCTGATAGTTAACCAAACAGATAAGAGTGAGGCTAAAAGTTTTAATGAATTTTAAATAGGACCCGTATGGTATTTTCATTAAAGTAAGATAGTAAGAAAATTAAATTTAAATCAAATATTTGTTATAATTGCCACGATTCATTTATAACTTAGGGTCGTAACGCTATAACTAATACATTTTAATATTTTAGACAAATTTATTAAATTGTCAGATGAATTGAATAATGTACGATTTACAGGTAATAAATAAGTAATAAATTTAGAGTACAGAAGTGAAATATAATTTGATTTAGTTTTTCCGTTGAAGTCAGTATATATGCATAATTTAAATTTTATATGTATTATTTTTTTATCGCTAATCTCAGCACCTAAGATGAAAAATTAAAATTTGAAGAAAAAATTATCAAAAGTTTTTCGCTACTGCGGGAATCGAACCCAAGTTTTCCGGGTTCACGCCTAGACGCTTTAAGATTTGTTTAACCCTTTAACGGCTCATTGTCACACCGAAGATTTCATCGTCCGTTGAAAGGTTTGTGAAAATCGGGTATTAAAATATAGGTCTTCTTCGTCCCGTGCGAGAATCGAAAGTTTTCGCCTATTTAAAAACTCATGAATATTTTTCTTGAATAAAATGAAAAAAAAAAATACCTTGCAAGACTTCAGTATATTAAGCAGACTGGGAACCAGCAGTGCCGCAACTAGGAGAAGCTTCTTTATCAGCAAGACTGACAGGAGAATGGGTATAAGCAGCAGCTTGGTTTTTAATGTCGCTACCAGGTTGAGGAGTGGAACCATCACTGCAAGTCTCTTCTTTTTTCCTCGTGCTGCAAATAGGTTACAAAACATATTTCAAGAAAACTTTTTTTTCTTTTATGCGAAAAGTTGCGAAACCAGCAGACGGGTCACCTGATGTTAGGTGAATACCCGAGGGCTACAGATGCGTTGACAACCTTTTGAAAATTGTGCTCCGGCTACCTCACTCACCAGACGAAACGCGAAAGTATTTGAGATTTCCACTTTACGCTGCTCTTCTGTGAGGTCGTGGTACTTACCCGGACGGGCCTGCCCGTTCGTGTAACAGCCGAGGCTGCTACGTGACCCTAACACCGATGAATCAATTATATTCATGAAAATTTTCTTGATAAAAAATTGATTTCAGAATAACAGGCTGATTTTTTAGACTAAGTATGTACATACTTTGACATAATGTTAATTGAGCATTCCATAAAATAAAAAAAAATATTTATATTATCTTATCACGTGTTCCGCGGTGAAGAAAAACATCGTGAGGAAACCTGCGTATTTTCGAAATAATGACAAAAAAATATATATATCTTTCGAAAATATGTGAAGTCCGCCAATCCGCAGTGGGGCCGCGTGGTGGACTATACCCTCTGTATAGAGGAGGCCTGTGCCCAGCAGTGGGACATGTATAGGCTGTTACTTTACTTTTTTTTATTTATATTATATTTTGACAAGAAATAACCAGAAAAATATATTGATACTTTTTTTTATTGTCACACATTGTTTTTTTATCCCGTTAAGAATGGTCACCCTATTGCTAAGCGGTTTAGCAATTATGAGTTCAACGAAAAGTTTTAGGGCTCGTGAATAGTTTATTGTATTAAGACGGTAAGGCAGGAATTTCTTAAGGTGTCCATAATGTTTGAAAATAAAAAAAAGGGTCACAAGTACGTACCAGATTCAGATTTAGAATCAAATTCGTCAAATGCTCTGTTAATATGTCCGTCGTCTATGAAATCGTATATCAATATTATTTGGATAAGTGCAAATATATATTCAACCAATCACGTTTTTCAAACCTGACATTTCGCATTGATGAATGAAACATAAAACGTATGATTGTGAAGATTGGTGTTGTGAACAAGGCGCATGTGAGAGATTCAGACTGTAAATCTTTAAGTAAAGAAAAATAGCTTCAGTATGTCAGCGTCCTCAAAAACTATATGGTAGAAAAGGAAACGAAAATAAAAGCCATAGAAATAAAAAAAAAAAAAAGGAAATAAAAATAATTTAATGCGTCGTGGGTCGTGGGTTCGATTCGCACACGGGACAACTATTTGTGTGACCCACAGATAGTTGTTCCGCATCTGGGTGTTTGTCCGCGTGAAATTTATGTTTGTAAAAACGTTCTTACAACACAGGATAATGTTATCTCAAAGTAAGGTAATGTTTTTTTACAACAAGAAAAACAAAAAAATAAATAAATAGGGAAGTGAAATCGGGTTCATTTAGTTGTGATGTATTTGTGTTTTAAACATTTGAAACTTTTAACACATCTTTATATAAAACTAGCTACTGCCCGTGACTATGTCTGCGTAGAATAGGCTGGAGGCGTAACATTCAGACAGAAAGACAGATATACATAAAATATGTATATAATTTATAGCCTATATCTTATTCTGATGTTTAAGCTATATTATTGTAAAGTTTCATTAAAATCCAGTAGTATTTGCGTGAAAGAGTAATAAACATCATACATACAAACTTTCGCCTTTATAATATCAGTAAGGATATTAAAATATGTAGAAAAAGTGCGAAAAGATTGTCGCCGCTGTGGGAATCGAACCCACGTCTTCGGCATTCGCGGCCTGACGCTCTAGCCACTGAGCTAAACTTTTTCTACATATTTTAATGTTCTATCTTAAGTGCAAAGATTAGCACTATAAAGAATTTAAATTTCTGTCAGTAAGGATTATATATATTGAACTTTCCGAACCGTCAAATAAATAAACACTCAGTGCTTTAGAAGCTTATTTTTAGCATATTCACATCTTCTTCATTTACCGACACGCAATTAGAATGTTTTCGAAAATTACTTTTAGAATTGATATATTTGACCAAATTCATATTCGTCTCGAACCTTCAATAAAATAAGAAGCTAAATCGGAAATTTCGATACAAAAGGTAAAATTTATCTGTAAGTAATGATATTCATACCTTTATAAGTCGGGTAAAACGTTTGAGTTATTTGTCACCAAATCGTTTTCCGCTCCAAAAATAGGTAAATTTCATGGGATATAAGCCGTGAGAAACGGTCTGAAAAACCGGACCCCAAAATATCTATCGCACGAAAATATTCATTTTGACACTGTTCGTATTTCAGAGTTTTGCTGATTATTTAACGTATATAATAATATAAAATTGATCTAGCTAGCTGCTATCTATATCTATACCTTTTTATCTATATCAATACTTCTGTACTTTTATATTTGATTGTTTGTATGTATTGAATAGGCTCCGAAACTACTGAACCGATTTGAAACTTTCGTTTCACTGTTGGGAAGCCACATTATCTCCAGATGATATAGGCTATATTATATTTTCAAAAAACTAGGGATCCTTACTAAAACTTCAATAATGTAACCCAAAGTGTACAAAAATGACCTAAAATATTGTTTACATCGCGTGCGCTGCGAAAACTATTGATGATAGAATAAAATAATGTATTACGAATTTGCAGAACATATCATTATTTACAAAAAATGTCATTACAGCTATGTGTAACTAATATAGTTATGCCACAATAAGTGTTCTTTTATTTTAAAATTTTGATTGAAATGTGGCCGCGAGAAAAGGCTCTTTATTTGTATCTTGGTATTAATCCTTATAAACATAAATAACTTCATATTTAGACTGTTTCAATATCTTTATGTAACTTTTTGAATTATTAAATTCGGACATTCGATTCGAAAGATATCACAAGTTTAAAAATGTTAGTATATTGTAATTTAAATATTAAAACAGCTTAGTGACTGACTTAGTACACCTTATATTTTTTCAATTACATTTATACTGGTAATTCCTTTTCAACAGTTATCCAATTATTAAAGGTATTTTGAGGGTTTCCCAATTATTAAATACAAAGGCATTTTAATTTTTATTTATCATTTTAAAATGTCCAAAAGATCATGATCTCATCTTTCTAGAAATGGTTCCCAGGCGAGAGCATCAAAAATACGTCGTAATGGGTAATCTTTACCGGAAAGTGTAAATCGTCTTACAAGTCGGAGAGAGTCAAGTAGAGCGGCTTGAAGAGCAAAATAATATAAATATACTAATTCACACTAGGGAATCGAGCTCTGAGCTTTCCTAACGCCTACGTGATTAGAGAGAAAGACAACATACGTCAACGACTAGAGTTCTTAATCGAGTTTTAGCTCACAGTAACAGATCAGATTTAATGCTCAACAGTCTTCCGTCCAAATCGGAGCGATGAATAAGATCTGCTCTAAGTGTTCTGCCAAAAAATGGGTAGATGAACCAAATGGTATGTGCTGTTCTTCTGGAAAAGTTAGTCTCCCCAATATTGAGGAGCCACTACAGCCAATAAAAAAATCTTTTGACAAGTAATCATCATCTGGACATTTTTAACCAACATCCGAAAGTACAATAGCCTCTTCCAAATGATTTCGTTTCGCGCGAACTTTTAAAATAGAGGTATATAAGTCATCATCATCCTCCTGCCCTATCCCACCTAGGTGGAGTCGGTACAACATGAATCATGTTATAAGCGGTTTTGGCTATATTTTTACAAACACCCAGATCAAATTTCAACTGTTTACCTATCACGGTTCATGAGATACAGCCTGTTGACAGAGGGACAAATAGACAGCTGAGTCTTAGTAAACCCATTATGAAAGCAAAGCAAAAACTAAGCAACGCTTGTACTGTGAGTACTAGATAACTGACAAACATACTTTTCTTTTGTAAATAAATACATATTATAAATATAATGTTTCAATTTATAGAGCTTCATCAATAATAAACTTGATTAAGTTTATAAAATAAATGTACACTCTGTTTCCTTTCCTTATTTCCGTATCAAATACTAAATCACGTATTCTTACCACTACTTAATCAGCACTTAATGAGAATTTACCATACTGTTTGATTCTAGTATATTAGGGATGATACAGAGGAGGGAGAATTAATCAAGCGTAAGAAAAAAAAATATAATACGAGTACATGGGTGATCGGTAATAACCAACTTTATTACACGTAAAATTTATGTATTCAGATAAACAGACCTGGCGATCGTCTGATTTCATAAGAATTAGTTCCAGATTTGTTGTATTTAACATTGACCGTGACGCTGTTCAATCCCACGCTTTAGTTGATTTACAATCGACGTTGCGACCGATAATAACAGTTCTATTGACACAGAATTCAATAATCCATTAACAGTCATTTTCATGGTCCAATTTCGATTCGCCAGTCCCACGGTGTTTCATTTCCCCGATTTTGGACGATATTAATCGAAATTTTCTATGGAGAAATAGAACTATTAATATTGCACATATTATGATTGATTGAGACGAAGGGCATGCGTTTATTCCACTGGCACTAAGCATTTTTTTTTTAGTTTTTACATGCTAATTTTTCCCTTGTTTTAATATATTCTAGATAAGGGGCATTGCTTTGAAGCATTCATGACTACTAAATAGGCCTCACAAAACATAAGTTATTACTACATCATTACAGTTGAAATATCATTAAAACGTCAAAGAATAATAAAAAAAATTAATTAATATAAGTAAAGACATGATATTAAGGACAAATGATATAGATATAATAGATATAAGTGCTTAGAAGACCACTTATCATAGAAAAAAAAACAATCAGGGACAATCCTCTAGAATAAACTTTGCCTATAACGTACTAAACCAATAAAGCTTGAAGGAATCTCAACTTTAAAGAAGACTATCCTACGAAGTTTAAGTAAATTTTTATAGTCTCAAAATATTTTTAATGCAAGTTACATATATATTCTACACATAAACCTTTTCAAAAGTGAATTATC